CCGCAAATTGTGATGTCAGAGTACACATCCTTCACCCAGTGAACATAACTGAAAAGCAGAGCAGCATTACATGCTGTCATATATGTGTCAAAACATGGATGTTCTTGTCAGAGAACATGTGCTCTCCTCACTCTGCTAATTTAAAAGTCAGTTTTCAAACTATTAAAGCTACACAGTAAAGTTTGACAAGTTGATTTACCTTGATTACTCAACTAAATAGAAACAGCTTCTTGCAAATAACGTATGTTGAGAGTTTGTGGTGAATCAGGTTGTGCACATCTCACATCTCCCATCAAAGACAAGGAGCACTGCAAGTTAGCTGGGTGTGCAGTGACCTAGCAGAAGAGCTGCTTCTCCCACGTGCATGTAATGGTGAAGTTAACAGAAGGCTGCAGTGACGCTGCCCGCTTAAGCCGTCCCGATTAACGGAGGAATGAGCGATTAAGGCACCAGGCACCAAGAAGGACGCTTTAACTCGAGTTGTAGGGATCTTCTCCCACTTAATGAATTTTAATGAATAATCTTTACTGCTATTTCTGCTTCAAACGATTTTTGTTGCATTTTATACATAAATTATGTACTTTGATGACTAAATTCACTGTGTATGAAACATAATTAGAAATATAAGTGAAACTGCTAAGATATATACGCTTTGTTCTTATGGTTGTCTGCTTAGATTAAATACATTGCTGATGTAGTAAAATATTTATTGTGCAACTTAAAGCTGTCAGATTAATACATTATTCATGTAAATGTGCTAGTTGGTAGGCATATGATTCTATAAAATAACACCTTTTAAAGTAATAACCTGATATTTTATGGAAGTTTGTTTCATAAAATTTAAAATGTTTATAAACCTAACCCATACACACACACACACACACACACACACACACAAACATGCAGATACGCACACCAGGAGAGTCATTAGAGACTTATGAAAAGGGGGTGCTAAGCCTTGTTAGGGGGGGTCTTATTCAAACTAGTTAGTGTACATTTATTTATTTTTTTTTGGGGGGGGGGACTAAAAAAATTCTAGGGGGGTCTAATGAGACCCCTGAATCACACTATTATTCAGTCTTTAAAACTGGTGTACAGTTGCACATCTTGTTTGGTTTTATTAAGATCTTTGATTGTAGTTGTGACCTTTTACACAGTCACATCTGATCTTAGAAGAAAATTACAATGGGGACTGTGAGCGCCTGTGTGTCCATTTGAAATCGCATGGTAGTTAGTTATACCACTGGTATGCATGCAATGAGTACAATGTATTAATCACAACTTGTGATTAATACATTGTTCACATTGCATACATACCCGCAGATTATGGTGAACAACAAAAATTAAAAAAACAAAACTTTTTTTGACATCATTTATAATGTTACATTTAACCCAGGGCTATGTTACAATTATCACTGACTATGGGGTAAATTGTAACATTTCACTCCACGTGTTTGAGGCTAACCTTTCATTGTCTGATTGTGATACAGAGATGAAACCTGTGGAGTTTAATAGAAGACACACGCAGGTAATTTGATTGCGATTCCATAAAAGAGGTCCGAGGTACAGTCAAAAATGTAAAAAAAAAACATTACAACCATGCCCGGTCTCCCCTACTTACACAAACCTAGATGGCATGGCATACTACACACCTAGGCTATATGGTACAGCCTAAATAACTATAAGATGAACTGTAGTAAATGCATAAACCAGCACTGCATACTGTAGTTATCATTATTGAATATTATGTACTGTACATAACTGTGTCATACTTCTATACAACTGCCGGTTTTTCATGAAGGTAGCCTGAGCTACATTAAAGTAGACAAAGATATAGCCCATTTAGCCCAGGCTACCTTAAATCCAACAAGTTATCCGGCTAAGCAAGACATCCTGCTTCGTGAAATACCCCCCTGGCCCCTCGGCAGAAAAACGTGACTAATGCCTTGTGCTATGACGTTAGGACAGCTAGGCTCGCTCCATTTTGACCTTATGGGACCACCGTCATTGACTGAAATGTCCTTATGTGGCCCATGACTATATATATGTATAATTGATATACAGATGCTAAGCGCTATTTTCTGAGACTAATGTAGGTCTTTCTTAAAACGCAAAGTGGCGTAAAGCAAACACTCCTAAAGTGAGACATGCCTGTCTCTGCAAAAGAGGGGCCTGACAGAAAAAGTTTGGGAAACATCATGTTAGGTAATGCTTAAGGTACCAAACGTTATATTCCCATTAATTCCCTTATAAAGAGAGTGTAAGAACAATCCTTTGTCCTCCCTTTAATCTCCTGTATCTTACACTAACTCATATACTTCTGCAAAGTAAATAATACTCATTTAGCAAAAAAAAAAGCTACCTTCTTATGACTCAAACTCGGCAAATAACCCCTGAACAACCTGTGTACTCCCACTCAGTGCATAAAAGCATCGTGCTAAAGTCTCCTATTACGTTTTTGAACTCTGGGGTTTTTGATTTGGCTTGGCTCAGCCATTTCCACATTGATTTAGAAGTACAGAAATCCACATTGGATAAATGAAATGATTTTTTCCCTGAGTTAGAATCCCTCTTTTCAAATTACAGCCTTTGTTTCTAAATTACAACCCTTCTTTCAAGCCTATACTCATTGTTTTCCCAAATGGTTTTTAAAATTCATTTAAATGCTTGCTTCAAAGTGATAATCTTCAATGGTTTCCTTTCAGATCAGAATTACATTTTTCCCCAAATTAAATTCAGTGTTTCCACATTAACAACTCCTACACTACACTACCTGGGTTTGTAATGCCCTGACATGATGCTTTTTTAAAGGTGTTAAAAGTTACACTTTACACGTAAAGTTACAAATTACCAAAAAGTACATTATACCCATATTCAGACAATTTCCAAGTAGGCTAAATGTTGGTAGAAATGTATTAACTCCTAAGTGAATATTTGACTGAATCCCCAGCCATCACATTTCCATTGGCATACAGGATCCGTTGACGGGTTTTAGTAAAACAGAAGAGACGCTTATTTACTGTTGACACAGTGTACATCCAGGAATTAGCATTCGCATGCGTAAATTTGGATTATGAATCCATTACTTTCGGCTGTTCTATAGTACCTTTTTTAAGTAGGAGGTTGGAAATGTTCTTGTTCCGAGTTTCAGCAATGCGCCGGTACATCGTGACGTGCGATACTACTAAAAAATTATAATATGTAGAATACTACTTACGCTTTTTCCTCCAGATAATCCAAGCGCAGAACACCGGTATAGCCGTGCATTTCGACCAATCAGATGATGGTGACGCAACGAGCTCGGTTTGGTTACAATTTCGGCCCCGCGGTTCGCATGCTTTGTCATAGAAACCCGTCAGTTCGCGGTATGGGTCGGGTTCGGTTCGCTTCCTGGTGGAAGTGGAAAAGCGTCATAAGAGTCACCTGTCAGACAGCCACCATCTTTGCGCTATAAAACATATTTCTAGATCGAGATCATTCCTTATCTACTTTGTGTGTGGAATCAGTGCTTGAAGTGGGAAAAAATAAGTGCAGGAACTCTAATTTTCTCGGGCCACTGTCGCTGCGTCGGATCAGTTTCAGTAAGTACCGGAACGCAGAAAAAAGTGGCGGAACCCAAAAGACGAAAATACAGAAGTTCCGGAACTGCGTTCCGGCCCACTTCAAGCACTGTGTGGAATAAAAAATAAAGCATCAAAAGGAAATGTTTAATTTTTACTTTTAAAGCAGAGTGACTCAAGCAAATCGGGTCCTAAATTAATTTAAAGGCAAACGACTATAATCGGCAACATGTACAACAGCTGCGGAACAGAGGTGAACAGAGATCGCAAACCCAGGAACGAGACACCAGCAATCAGAGCTGCTAATAAGCCGTTCACCAAACAGTTAATCGGGTAATATTCATCCCAGAAGACGAGGCTGAACCGAGCGCTAACCTCGTATTCACAGAAATTAGACGCGACAACATCCCGCTATGACAGCAGTGGATCTAAGTTAGCTAAAGCTTTTAGAAATGCCACCATTATGAGACAAGCACAGGGGATTTTTAATGTCTTATAACAAGATTAAATAAGTAAGGGAGATAAATTATTTCCGGTTCGAGGCTTGGTCACATGGTCATGCCTAACGCTGCTCCTTTGAAAACTGTGAAGGTCCATCTCAGAGTATAAATATAGTAACCATGTCCCTGCACATTAACTGGCTTAAATGGGTCAGTGTTTGGGTGGCAGGACTAAGATGAACTCATTGGGTGTACAACATGGTGGGTACTTAGGGAATGAAATGCACTGACAACTAGGCTTGTCACTGCAGTGCTTTCATCACAATACGTTATGACTGCAGACATTGAGAGTGACAGCAGTGGTGAAGGCATCTTCTGAGATCTTGTAAAAATCTGTGATTGCTGAGAGTACCACAGCTAGGAGAATGTGATGTGCCAAGACAAGGGGCAGATCTGTGCACTGTTGCCAATTCATCCTCAGTTCATCTTGGAGATACAACAAGCTGATGACAGATATTTTTTCATCTACAGAAATCAGTATAGGAATAGCCGGCTAGTATGATAGCATTGGATGTAAGTCAGTTACAGCTTTTGGAAATGCCAGCATTGCAGCGAGAAAGGCCCTGGGGATTTTTAATGTCTTATAACAAGATTTAAAGTTGTTAGTTACACACAAGTATAAGCAAGTTAAAGAGAGACCTGAAAAAGAAAGCATAGCCTCTTTCAGTTCAATAGGTTCATATATCAGAGTATACCAAAAACCACCAGGTCCTAGAATTAGGTAAATATGTCCTCAGGTGACAGGATAGGAGATTCCAGTATGTCATAATTTATTTGATGGTATATAAGTAATCCTGCAGAAGCCATGTGTGGAAAAGTAAGTACATCTGGAAGCAAGTAGAACCTTTCACAGGTATCAGTGTATAGTGTTACACTATAACCAAACTGTATTGTCTTTTTGCCTTTGTATCTCAGTGAAATGCCACATTTATTCACTCGATACTTTTCACAGCTCTTTACTTTTATTTGTTTATTTATAACCATTACTTGAAGACAATAACAATGTGTCCCATTCCACACAAACCTCTCTAATAAAGAGCAAAATGAACAATACCAAGCATTACAAAATCGATCCTAAGGAAAAAAAAAAGTACCGAAACTGAAGGACGTCAGTTTAAAATAGTTCAAATAAATTATTCTCCATAGACAACTATGAGACATATCCAAAAAATATATATGTACACACTCTGTTGTACTGTACAAAATACCGTCCATATTGAGGTGAACAGAACAGGGTTGAGGAGCAATTGCACTTTTTTAAGGGATGTCACAGTAATGCTGAATTTGCTTCGCTGATGTCAAAAAAAAGAAGTCAATCTTTTCGCTGTGATTGATACATGAGAGGGAAGCTGGGAACAGCAGGGACTTCTGGGAATCATACAACTTTTTAAATATATACCACAACAAATAATTACATGGAAAAGCAAGGATAGCTAAAATAAAATAACCATGCACTTGTAATTGTGGATGTAGAAACCAGTCATCCCGTGTGTATCTGTGTGTGTAGTGGGGGCTGGAGTTATCCTGTGCTTCCAGGTGAAAGATCTCTATACTGAAGCTTGAGTCGTGTCTTATTATACGAGGATCCTACAGTGCGAGTTTGGCCATTTTGCTGGCTGCTCTTTCATCGTCCTCCTTTCTCAGACTCTTTCCTTATCTGTGAGTCTGGCAGCAGCTGTACACATCGTCCAGCATCTTGCAGCTTCAGTAAGTCTCATGGAAATTGGTGATTAAGTCCCGCCTATAGTGCATCCGTCTATTCGTCTTCCTCTGGTTCCTCTGGTACTAGCAAGACCTCCTCTTTGAGGCACTCTCTGAAGAATGACACGAGAGACACATAGAGATGCTGTGTGCTCCTCTGGGACAGGGTGTGGCCCTCATCCGGGTAGATCTGCCAGGCAGGAATGGGGACAGGGTCATGTGTCACAGGGTATGACCACTCGAGTCAATGAGTTGATCATGTGAAGGAAAAACTTTGTCACCTTCAAGAGGAAATGAGGTTAAACAGAAACAGTGCTAGGAACAACGGATCAATCAACATACCTGGACTGTGTAGTTTGCTCCAACTTTAATCAGGTTTTTAATCAGCTCTGCTGTGTGCTGAAAATGAATGCTGGCTGGAAAAAAAAGTAGTTGTGGACGATAATGAAATAATTCAGCCATGTAATTAAATACTCAACCATGAATACCCCAAAATCTAATTGTCTTCTCACTGTCCCGTAATCATTTTGTATTTATCACTTTTTTCGGTAACTGCTATTTTCATGATTTAAAAGTAATTTAACATGGAATCATGCCCACGCACATTCACCGTGTACTTCGCTGAGTCTGACGTCTTTGCTTACCATCAGCGGTTCCATGGACCAGCATTAAGTTCTTTTCTCGCAGTCCTTGGATGTTCTGCAGCACACTGGAGAACTGGAAGATAGCATTAGTTAAACATCAGTGTGTTCATGGCCGTCTTTCAAAGACTATGTATCAGACAGGCTTTTTCATTCATGCACTATTTCCTCAAAGTGACTTGAACGGAGGTCAGGGGGACCTCGGCTTTGATGTCACACCATGTCGAGCTCTCGTGCTGTCTGAGGGCTTCGGGGTCTGCTGGTTTTAGGGTGGATTAATTAGAGTCACCAAAAGCTTTAAATAGCATCACCTAGTGTTTACAAGTCATATTAATAACTTTGAAAGCAAAGTAGATAGCAGTGTGTGTTTTAAATTGCGACTCAGTCCTATAGCAGCAATCCCTGGATATCCACTGTGAAAATGATGAAATTAGCGCTCCACATAATTACTCAAAGCTACAAGTAACCTTCAGAGTCATGACTAAGAGAGTTTATAGAGCTTTAGAGATCACATCAAATGCTTACTTAAGCCAGTCTGCTCTTCTTTTGAGACACTTCCACACTGACTAGATTAGTTCACATATGTGTCTGTTTTAGTGCCCACTTTCATCGTTTTAATAAATATTGTTCAGTCACTCAGTCACACACTACAGGCCCCCTATTCTCCCAACCACATGTGTTTGGACTGTAGGAAATACCTTCCATTAGAGGATCATGGGTATCCATGAAATTTTATTTGCTTATTTTGTTTGTTTGTTTGTTTGTTTGTTCCAGTTACCATGGATTGTATCGAATGCTGTCCGGTTTTGATATCTGTAATACTTTTCTAAAGTAACTCATTATTAGAAAAAAGAAGTGAAAAGGCTATTTTTAATTTCAGAAACACTTCTGTCTAAGTAAAATTGTAATACAAAATTATTTTGCATTAAGATATTTTGTGCTGCTAAAGCGAGTGTAAAAGGTCAGTGAGATTAGCGTTCTTAGTTAACAGTATTCAGAGAAGCTTTTAAATGTCAAGCGTGATTGCCTGGATCTTTCTTTTGTGTGTCACAGATACCGAGAACACTGGCTTGGCGGAAGTAAAAGCCTCGGCACATGAGGAAAAGCAGTTTCTATCCTCCACATTCACTTTGGTTTCTCTGCCGGCCCCCGTTACCGCATAGCGCTCAGCAACGAAAACGATTAAGCACCACTGTGAATGAACGTGAACGGGGTGACAGCCCACCTGGTACCTGTTGTCGTTCTTCGCTGGCATCCCGAGGTATCGTTCAGAAAACGCCGATGCTGGCGGGGAGAGACACGCATGCGCCAACGTGAGCAAACGGGGCGGGGGGGAGGAGCCTACCTCGCAGATTTTCATATTTTACATCAGTTCTTGTCCTTTTTGTTGCGCAACATTTTTTTTTCCTACTTACAGTTTAGGTTGCTGCTTTTTAATAATTACTGTCGCAATTAATTCAGCGTTTTAGATTGTTTTGAAAACGCATCATCTTGTTGCTTATATCCCTTCAACTAATCTATTAAATATTGTGATTCTGGAGACAGGTACAGATTAAAAAGGAAATGTGATTATATAATTAGAGCCTAGGAATTGATTAGAATGAACAAAAGAATGTACAAGTCCCCCTGTGTACTCAGTTTGAGACGGCTGGCTTGGATCTTTAATTTAATGGTGGTTTAAATTGGTTCCATAATCAATTGATTTAATTTCTGTCAATTAATTTACTTTAAAAGTTCCGTGGTATGAGACACTATGTAGTTGCATTAGAGCATAATATGAACGTCCTGTGCAGACAGGAAAATGTGCTGCATCCTTGTGATGTCATTGTCTTTCAGATCACCAAAGCAGAGTTGTCCTCACCGTAGAGTTTCCAGTCAGTAACTGGAGACATAGAGGCTGCACATTTGACCAGAGTGTCCGTCGATTTAAGCATCATTAAAGTGATGTATCCTCCATAGTCCTGTGAAGGAGAATAAACACGTCCACATGTTCACTCTCCGGATTTACATCCAGTGAAGGGCGTTTAAAAATATCCTCAAATAGTTTAGTGGGTCATTCAGAAGTACAAGAAATCGTCAATGATTTCTACAGGCGGTACAGCATGCCTACCTTCCCGAATATCCCTATCCGTGTGTGGTCAACGTAACGGAATTTCAGCATGTACCTTAGATAAAGAGACAGTGAATAACACTGTCATAAATCACTGATCCTCATGTTAGACTTATTATATAATTTACACATGCTTCCCTCTATCACCCACAACTGCCGATCCAGTAAAGGACTGTGGTGGACATTTTCTAAAACAATGTAACTTGATGACTTTATACATTTACAGAGGGCCATACTTCCAGTTTCTACTGCTTACATTTCCAAAAGTAACAGACTTTTTAATTCTTATTATATTCTACAGATTCTTCAAAATGTTACATTCATGGAGAAATAGCAGTGAAATATTAACGATTTCTGTGTTTTGGCTCCTCAGTGACTCCAGTAGTTGGAAGGTTTACTGATCAATGTCTGAATGCTGAATCACAGTGCATACAGTATCTCCTAACATTTTCAATTACAAATTAATCGATGTGCTCCAGGCCAAAAAGCTTGATGATCACGTTACTTACTCCAGAACAGCAATCTGGTCCTGCACCTCCACAGATCCCAGGCGCTCGTACACCGCATGCAAAACTCTCTGGCCCTGGAAGCCTGTTCCCCTGCCATCCAGTCTGACCACGATGACATTGTCTGAACTAACCAGAACTGAGTCCCAGTCCAACAGAAACTGGTCACTCACTGATTGACTCCCAGGAGCTCCATCTCTGCAAAAGATGAACTAAAAATATCTTAGCATAGAAGCCCCGCGTCTATAAATAATGGCATTATTATCTATTTTTAAGAAAATTAGATAAATTATGTCATAAGTTTAACAGATGCATCTCCTATACGCATGAAGAGTCTCGTAAGAGTCGAAGTTGCCGACTTTGCCGGCGTGAGATATTCAATTCGAGGCAATTCTGCACATTTATTTACATGTATGTAACAGTTTTATTACCTGGTAAATAGTCTATAGGGTTTGCAAACTACCTCAGTGCTTCTGATGTAGTTAATTTTTGGTTCATAATGGAATGATATAGATTTGCCGTCAGATTTCATGTGTGAGAGTCTGAAAGCGTGAGTCACGCCAGATGTGCGAAAGTTGGAAACCCTGAACAGTCAGTGAACAGGGACTAGATTCTCTGGACACAAGGACTAAAAACTTTATCAACCAAAGGATGCCTTTTACTGTTTACATCAAGCTCTAAATCCACAGTAGCACTAAATCCAGGAATTAGGGCATGTCCCACATGCGGCAGGGTCTTGTAGGAAAGCCCATCAGATACTCACACGACCAGGAGAAGCCCATACTGATTCGATTCGGAGAAATCCGGTGGGAAGGAGATTCTTAGTGGCAGTTCTAAATATAACAGCAAATGTAAAGCTGTTAATAATTCTGTTCATAATTATAAGAAACAGTAAACCTCACAGAAAGAGCTATAAAAAATGAGCTGTCTGTTTATCCATCCATCCAACAACTCATCTGTTTACCAAAGTGTTCTACGTGGAATGGCTTCAGTTGGGTCTGCTGAATCTTCTTGCTTCTCAGGGCTGCTTTGAGAACTGTGTTCTCCTCCAGTGTAAAATAGTCTGTGTGGAGCACAAATGAGGCAATCAGTGAACAAACAGGCTGATAGTCAATGGGAAAATGACAGCCTCCACAGTCTTTAAAAGCCAGTCAACTAAAATCAATTCTTATTGTTTCATTGAGATACTTTTATCAATAAAAGGAGGAAATATGTATCAGTAATTGAATTTGACAATGAGTTTAAAGTTTAAATCAGATACCCAGTTATCATGCAGTGTACACATGAGATAATTTCCTAGGCCTGTCAATATGAAAGCAACATGACATAACTACAGTACTAACAGTCCATAACAACGGGTCAAACTCAGCCAATCTTCAGTTCATGTAAATACAGACCGATATGGAGCAAGCTGGGAAGAAACTGGATTACTACAATATAATTCACACAATGTAAAAACGAAATACTGTAACAGATTGCAAGCTTTTTCATGTTTAACTCTTGCCTTCACCTGTTATTTGCATTCAAATAATTCCTAAGTCTTAATTACATGCTTAACATATTTTTTACACCGATAAACAGAATTACACTTTATGAATTTCCAGAGACACTTGCAGGAAAATGGCAACAAATATAAAATTCTGTATTCTGGTATGAGTTTGAATCAAAGAGGTGCATGGAAATAAATCTTACTGTTAGTATTTAAAGTGTACAGGATCACTGATGGTGCCTCAGGACCTGCATGAAGTGAAAGAGAGAAAATGAACACAGATGAATTCACTACATCTACACAGGCCACAACTTTGACATGCTGACACTCTGTAGTAGTCTATGAAGATTAATTTTCTTCCTTTAATGTTGTGCAGTAAGGGATGTCAAGACCCTTTAATAGAGTACCAAGTGATTATGAGCATTAATTATTCACACATTTTCGATTAAAAAATGCTTGGGTTTTACTGCTGAGCTTGACTGCTGACCTAAACTGTAAGTGGAACAAAACGTTCTGCTAACGTTTACCTCGCAATCATCACTAAAAATAACTTGGCATTTTTAAAAACATAGATATGCTTTGGCTTTTTTGGCTGACAGTTTCTGAAGGTCACAACATTGTCATTAGACTGGAACTAGATATGGATTTCAGGACAGCACTTTCCTGGATATGTAAAATATCCTCTGTAAACTTTTTGACGCCCATTGCAGAATCATTGTGGCAGAACATGAAATAATCCATCATCATCAACACCACAGTGTTGGAGATGATTGATTGATTGATTGATTGATTGACTGATTGATTGATTGATTGATTGATTGATTGATTGATTGATTATGCAGTGATTACTAGCTTTGCATGAACCTTTCCTAGTATGTTTCCTCACAGTCATTCCCTGAAGAACAAGTCTGGGGTAAGTTCATATAAACCAATGCATGTAAGTCATAAGTTACAGATGTTTCAATTTATTTTACCAGGCATACAGTACCTGTCTAATACTGGACAGGACCGCTTTTGAATTCAACAGGAATGCCACTAACTGGGTAGTTTTTTGTTAATCACACCATTCTCTGTAAACTGTACACTCTGTATTAAGTGAAAATCTCTGGAGGGGGGCTGTTTCTGAGATGCTGGGCTAACGACGTCTGGGAACAACAGCCACACCACATTGAAAATCACTTAGACGAGGCGTCTTAGCTGTTTCGAAGCTTATTTGAATGTAAGCGAACCTCGTGACCCCATCTGTTGTGTGTATTGAGTCACACGATCCTCTGCGTTTAACGCTGTTGGTGTTAATGAGCTGGTGTACCTAACGAACTGGCTGGTCTGTGTATTGAATATTACCGTGTTGCATGAATGTGCCCACAGTGTCATGTACTGAAGAACCCTGTTAGCATTTCACATTTCGGTAACAATGGTTACAGCCTCACACTGAGAAAAGAAGTCTTCAGAAAAAATCCATCAGTGCTTCCCTGTAATATCTAATTTCCTTTTCATATCAAAACATGTCAACATACTGTTCAAAAGGTATGTTTATGATGATGCCAAAAGAAATGCATTATTCAGCACGAAGCATAGATCACAATGCACTACAAAGCCAAGATCAAAAAGGCGAGTTCATTGGCAGACTTGCAAAACCTCTTTACAATGCACTAAATAATGAATGGGGTGCTTAATAACCACAGACAAATTACGCTGTACCTTCCAGAGAGAGTTTCGCACTGCTTTAAACTGACACTCAAATAAAAGGTGATGAGATATTTCAGTCTTTACAAGATGCAATTAGGTTTGCTTACCCAGTTATTTTTGTGTATATCACTCAGTATGTTTTAAGATAGGAAATGATCAGTTTTCGCACATTTTTAAAGCTGTTATCAATTAAATGTGAATTTTATTTATCTCTGTTTTAGGGGTGGAAATCTATAAAATGGCAGAGTGCAGAGTAACAGCTTGGTTCCGAAAATGAACAGTATTATATGACACATGAAAAATGGACTTAATCGGCTTTCCTGATGGATAAGTATATGCCCTGAAGTATACATGAAATAATAAAAAAATCATTTTGATAACATACGATATTTTAAAGTGTTTGAAAATGGCAATTTTATGGGATGGAAATCACTAATGTCTTCCTCTTCAATACACACCAAAGAAATGGATGCTTTTAATCTTGATTTTGTAGTTTATGATTTCTTTGTCCCTCAGCAGTATACTTAACTATACCGTGAGAGTCCGATCATCAGCGTTTATCATGATGTTCAATGTAACATGATCTAACCAATCAACTTTTGCCACAGGGTCACATGTTCCATGACACATCAGTTAAGGATGCTTGCTGGAATGAACAGTATGTTGTTCTTGATGTAACGCCGTCCTTTTTAGCTGCATAACAATAATGGATGGTGAAGGCATGGCTCTGACATCTGTCAAGTGAACATGGCATTAAAGGCTAATTGCCGTCATAAAGAACTCAATTATGTCTAAGCATATTTGATTCTTCTGAGAGTGCTGTTGATTATTTATGTAATTTATTTTTATATCTGCTTTCTTATACCTGATTTTAACATATTAGTCAGTATTTTGAATAGCTAAAGAATTAAAAATCTAACTTAGTTGGAAAAGATATCAGTCATGCAGACAATGACAAATGAATGATATAAATACATCAGTTCTGGAAGTGTCACAGAACACAGCACTGGAACTCCGGAGATCCACCTATACCTCACCTTCACAGTGAAGCAGGACATGCTGAAAACCTGGACTGAGCTCAGCACTGAAGTAGGTGCAGCCGGCCTTGTTCAACTCGCACGTTAGGCATCGCCGTGGAAACAGGCCGACCGTCGAGACACTGAGGAGAAGGGATAAAAGATGGAGTTGAGTGTGATGCATGATGAACACATCCATCTTGTAGAGTCAGAAAACATATCATGCAAAATTAACAGTTTACATGGACCATCCGCCATAGGGAGAATTCTGTTATAGGCCGTTTATGAGATTCAAACTGAAATATAGCACTCAGTATATATACAGGATACAGCTCAGGCATGAGCTGACGACAACATTCTGAAACATTTATAAAATAAAAAGATGCATGACTATGCAAAATAATTTAGATGCTCACCCGAATGTACTGGTTAATCTCAGTAATTACTGTTTGTTTATAATATTGACAAGCAAAACATTTTGACAATGGCACATGTTTCAATGAGGTCTTTGCTAGATCACCTGAACAGCTGTCTGCTTTGTGGGGACTCCTCAGTGCTCAGGAAGTATCTAATTGGGTGAAAGGAGACACTTTTAGACACGCTCCCATTTTTCTAGGTTTCAGTATTCACACTCTAGGAGAAACACTGTAGTGAAGATCTGCTTACAGAATATACACCAGCCACTTATCCAAAATGAAAAACACCCTTGAGGAAGCAGATGTCCTTTTACTTTGCAGTCAGTGCTGTAACAGAGAGTGTGAACTCACACGTTCTGGCTGTTTTCATCGTACGCTAAGATTCTGGTCACCTCCCAGTTGCCAGATGTTAAATGTCGAACTTCATTTTGCTCAGCTCTGGACTGGAAGAGGGACAGACAGAGGCATAGAAAATATAAATACAATGCTTCTTAGGGACATTGGTGTTGCCAAATATGTAATTGGAGGAACCAACACAGACCCAACTAGTTTTGCGTAA